CTGAACTACTAACTCCTCAGAGGGTTGACTGGTTTGAGCCACATACATTAGCACTTGCCTCCTCAGGCTGATCTGTTTGTTGGTTGCTATGTGGATGGTGATAAAATATCCATTTGGGTGGGGTCAAAAATTATATTACACTCTCATAGCACATCTGCAAATCCTGGCCTCCGTGCTGTCAGAAGCTGGTTCCCAAATACCAACTCTGAACCTAGCCCTACCATATGGACACATGGGGTCAATGAAAAATGGTGTCTGAGGGGCCCCAAAGCATGAGAAGTTCTGGCAAAAAGTGACAGGTTTTATCCAGGCTGCTGAAGAGAAATGTACTGAGACTAGAAAAGCTAAGGAGGTGCACGCCTTCAGAACGTGTCTGTGGATCAAAATACACCCTAACAGATTCTTGAGAGAGCCCCTGGCGGCTGTGTTAACCTTGGCATTGTTATCATTAAGAGGCTATGCTCATTTCTGGCACCTAATGCTGGACATATTGACAGCAACGGGGTTGATGGAAGAGGAAAGAATCTGTTTTGCAGTTTAAAAAAAAAAAAAGAAGTTCTCAGATTTCTCAAGCCATTTGAAATCACGCCAGAGAAATACTTGATTTCAGCATTCTTCAGCGCTCTGCGATGATGCCGCAAGTGGCGTCCCCCACATGTGATGATATATTTCAGAGCCAGAGCTTTCTCAAGATGTTCCAAGCCTGCAGGCTCCTGATCCTTTTTCAAATTACCAAGATAATAGTATCCCAGTGAGAGTTGTGATTAGTCTAAACTCTCCACAGCTGTGAGAGATGAATGTACAAATTCCAATAAAGATTCTGCATGTTCTGGGCTGAATTTACCTACATGACATCGAGGCCTAATTCAGGGACCACTTAAAAGAACTGGAGCTGCTTTGGTGTTACTCCATTTCTCCCATGGCATCGGCTGCTAGGAGGCTTGCAGCTGGCCCAGGAGGATGCCTCCCCTCATGCCAACGTCACCACCCAGCAGTGAGTATTTGCTTAAAAGGCCTGCAGCATGCGGGGAGAGAAGCAGGGCAGGGAAAATTAAACCAGACTACAGGGGAATTCGAAGAAGCCTTGCAATTCATTATGTGAGTAGCTAGGAGGATTACTGGATACCTTGTAACTGAAGCAGCTGGCCTGAGGCTGTGTGGGACAGCCTGCCTTGCCACCTCCAACTCATTACAATGGTGCTGGCAGGAAACCAGGCTCAGAGTTCTTCAGATACTTGGGAGAGACAACAGCGCTTTGATTTCCTAACTTGGACACCTTTTACCTAAAATACTTCCTTGGAATACTAAGTGAATGTAATAATACATGACATGCCCCTTTACCATGTTTTTTGTTTTGTTTTGTTTTGAAGACAGAGTCTCATTCTGCTGCCCAGGCTAAAGTGCAGTGGCAGTACCTCAGCTCACTGCAGCCTCCACCTCCTGAACTTGAGCCATCCTCCCACTTCAGTCTACCAGGTACCTGGGACCACAGGTGCAGCACCGCCATCCCTGGCTAATTTTTGTAATTTTTTTTTGTTAGAGACGGCGTTTCGCCATGTTATCTGGGCTGGTCTCAAACTCCTGGGTTCAAGCGATCCGCCTACCTCGGCCTCCCAAAGTGCTGGGATTACAGGCGTGAGCCACCACACCCCATCCCCTTTACCATGTTAACAGTTGTGTCACTTGGAGGCACTTGCGTATTGTTTATGAAATATCTGACATTCAGCATGCTTTCCATGACTGGGAAAGACAGGGGACAAGGATTCACAACATTGTCTACACACATAAACAATTACAGAGAAAGAAAGAATATTGTTTGGGAAACAGAAAGTTATACCAAAGGAATATGTAGCAGGGTTTTAAAAAATGATCTAATGTGATTTGCATGAATGTAGAATCTGCTAAAGCCACGTTTACCTTCATCTTCTACATCCACATTCATTGTTGAATTTCATAACTGTATAACTTTCTGACATCTGCAGATTTTAATAGTGCACTATAATTTTACAGTTTATCACACAGCCATACACATATGCCACTCTAATGTGACATGTGGCATTTCTCCTTATAGGCTCTGAACTCGACTTTTTACTCTCAGTGGCAAACCAGAAAGATAACATAACTCAAGTCAGGAGACCCACCATAGAGTTGAATGAGCCATAAATGAAATTCTCAAAATATCAAACTCTGGATGATCCATACATGGCATCTTATTAAAATGGGAGTGGGCAGGAATGGAAAACCAAATACCATATGCTCTCACTTGAAAGTAGGAGTTAAACTATGGGTACACAAAGGCATATAGAGTGGCATAATGGACATTGGAGACTCAGAAGAGAGGAGGGTGGGAAGTGGGTAACAGATAAGAACACTACCTATTGGAGGCGGGGCGCGGTGGCTCAAGCCTGTAATCCCAACACTTTGGGAGGCCGAGGCGGGCGGATCACCTGAGGTCGGGAGTTGGAGACCACCCTGACAAACATGGAGAAACCCCATCTCTACTAAAAATACAAAATTAGCCGGGCATGGTCGCACACGCCTGTAATCTCAGCTACTTGGGAGGCTGAGGCAGGAGAATCGCTTGAATCCAGGAAGCGGAGGTTGCAATGAGCTGAGATCGCACCACTGCACTCCATCCTGGGCAACAAGAGTGAAACTCTGTCTCAAAAAAAAAAAAAAAAGACACTACCTATTGGGTATAATGTACACTACTCAGGTGACAGGTGCACTAAAATCTCAGACTTAACCACTATACAATTCATCCATGTAACCAAAAACTGCCTGTACCCCAAAAGCTACTGAAATAAAAGTAAATAAAAATAAAATAGAATTTTAAAATGTAAATGGAATAAACTATCCAATCAAAAGACCAGAAAAATGGGAGTAGGAGTGAGGGAAGGAGAGAACACGCTGACTTTTTTCTAATATTCACAAAAACAAAACACAAAACCAGAAACATTTCCTCTTTTATCTTTTCACCGTCTCTCATTGCAAATCTTCTACACCCTAACAGATACTTTCAACACTGGTACACATCCCCTCAGATTTCATCTTCTCGAGAGCAAAATCAAATCATTAATGTAAGCCTGTCAAACTAGATGGCAACTATGCATGACTTCCCCTGGAGCCACGTTGCAAGGGCCACTTTTTCAAGCAGCTTTTCGTTATCTTTCTGCTGGAAGCTGGTTCTAGGTAAAATTGCCCAGCAAGGCAACTTGAAGAAAAACTAAAAAATTAATGAGTGGGAAATCATAGGATATGCAAGGATTCTAGACAAATAACTAGTGTCCGAGTCCCCTGCTTGCCCCAACATTGTCTCCCCACCCTCTGGAGTTCTCTATTCTGACTACAAGGGTAACATATGTCAGGGGGCCTCTAGCATACTTCTTAAGCATCCTGGCAGTGGTGCTCACTATTCTTAAGTATTTTGAATAAAAATGCCGATTTCCTCTGTGTGTGTGAACATATATATGTTTACATACACATTTATGTGTGTGTGTGTGTGTGTGTGTGTGTGTGTCTATTATACATATATATGCCAGGATACCAGCAGCTAAAACAAAGATTCAGAGAGTATAACTAGAGCGGCCCTGCAGAAAAAGGGTGTTGCATTGCTGGGAATATTCCAAGTTGGTCTGATGGCAACGTGGGGTGTGCTACTAAATGACAACCATCTCCTGGGGAGAAAAAGCCCTGCTTTGTCACATTTGCAATTTCCCTCCTGGAAATAACACCCGCCATGGCTCATTTCAAGCTTCCCAAGTGACATCACTGAATGGAAAGTTAAAAAGCGAAAGTCTTTCAGATGTAAACAATTTCAGTGATATTTATAAATAATAATAAAATGTAGTGGGATAACTACAATGTGGTGAATTTTGAGCATCATATTTGCTTTTAATATAATGGAATTGCCAGTTTGCATAATTTAATTTTTAATAATAGTTGCATTTAACAACTAGTTCCCAAAATTCTTGAAAATTTAACGGAGGGTAGCAGTGAGCAGGTACCATTCGCTCCAACACACCACTACATGTTGCTCTTCAGGGATATTAAGATACTTTGAACAAGCAAATCATCTGGATCAAACGATCTCCAGAGCTTCCAAGGATGCCAGCCTCTTTGCTATCCCGCTTTAGAAATACCCAAAACACAGATTAAACTGTGGACAATATATATAAGAATGCCATTAACTATACCTTAGGCTTGTATCACGCTTTACACTTTTCAAAGTAATGCTTACATGGCACGTGGGACTGTCCGACCTTGCAGAGCGAATTTAAATCTGTGGGTAACAGCTTTTTAATGTATAATGGGTGAAAAAAAAGTCCTGGGGGCCGTTTGTCAAAGAGAAAGGCAGGGGTGGAACAGGCAGCCCCACAAGGAAGCCGGGAGGCTGGTCAGCCGCCCTACGATTCCTGGTTGCGTCCTGGAAATGGCCCCAACATTGTGCAAGCAGGTGGGTGTGCAATACTTTGGTATCTCTCTCTCTCTCTCAGATTTAACTAGAATTACGTTTTTCTGTTGGGATACAAAGAGTTATATGGAATGTGTCCTAAGAGTTTTACAAATAGTAAAATGATGAGCACCGTAACATTCAAATATGCTCTTAACAAAACAGCTCAGCAATGCCTTCCTGCAGATCAAATCGTGCCTGTTACTGCAACAGAGGCTTGTGCAGAGTCTAGATGCATTCTCACCGCGAAAACTTACACCACCAGTAGTCGTGGCCGAGTGGTTAAGGCGATGGACTAGAAATCCATTGGGGTCTCCCCGCGCAGGTTCGAATCCTGCCGACTACGGAAACATTAGCGTTTTGCTGTCGTAAACACCTACTTTGTGTTTTAGAGCGTTCTCCTCCAACCTTCCGCAGATTTAAGGAATTTAGAAGTGGATGGAACACGACAGGGACCCAAACGGGAAAGGAGAGAATGATGGGGCGCGACAGTGTGCCTGTGGTTACAATGTGGGCCCGGGAGAGGGAGACAGGACGAAACACGCCGGACAAACTGGAAGGAAGAAAAGCAACCAACGCGAGTCACACAGACACAGGGCAGGGAGAACTACTGCCTCCGTCCCCGCAGGCGCCCACCCCCAACAAACCCACCGCGTTCTTTGCCGCGAGCTCTGGCGAGCGCCTCGGGTTGCCACGGGACGCGGTGCGCATGCGCAGGGACGCCTAGTAGGCCGGGTCCTCGCGTTACCCCTGGAAACCACCGGAGCTTCGGCGACTCGAGGGGGAAAAGGTCAGGCGATTCAAGATGGCGGAGGATCTGGACGAGCTCTTAGATGAAGTGGAGTCCAAGTTTTGCACACCCGACCTTCTAAGACGGGGCGTGGTCGAGCAACCCAAAGGTTGCCGTGGCGGCACCCACAGCAGCGACCAGAACCAAGCCGAGGCGAAAGAGAATCTCAGGTTAACGGGGCGGGAGGGGTGGACTGTTCTAGTAAAGCCCTGCTCCAGGCCCTAAAGCCGCCCCTCCGCCGCCCAACTCAAAAGAAACCTGCCCGCGACCTCCAGCCCCTCCTTGTGTCAGGGTTCAGACCCTCAGTGTCCCACCCTCGGTGGCAGCTCACCCCTCCACCCTCTAAGCGGATTCTGGCATCTCTTTCCTCAGCGCAGACTCCGCCCCCGGCAAGCCTGGGAAAGCTGGCCCCGCCCCTCCCGCCGAGCCCGCGGCTCGTGTCGGTCTCCGGTTTATTTCTGCCTGCCAGAGCCTAGGAGGTTCTAGTCGGGGACCGTGATGCAGCTCAGGCGCCCCCTTGTTAGCCCCGAAAGGGCTGTGCTGACCTCGCCCAGATTGTGCCTCTGTGTGGCCGAGCAGTTCTTATCTCCCTGTGAGGTGCCCTGTTAGACAACCTCATCCCATTACCTCAGACCCCATTCCCCAGGCCGATCCGGGGACCAGAAGTTAAAAAAGGAGAAAACAATTCCCTTCTAGTCTGTCTTTAGCTGAGTTTTGTGTTTTGTTTTTTTGAGATGGAGTCTCGTTCTGTCGCCCGGGCTGGCGTACATTGGCGCGATCGTAGCTCACTGCAGCCTCCAACTCCCTGGTTCAAACAATCCTCCCACCTCAGCCTCCCTAGTAGCTGGGATTACACACCTGGCTAATTTTTGTATTTTTTGTAGAGACAGAGTCTCACTGTGTTGACCAGGCTGGTTGAGAACTCCTGACCTCAAGCTGTCCTCGCACCCCTGCCTCCCTTAGTGCTGGAATTGTAGGTGTAAGCCATCGCAGCTGGCTCAGTTTATTTTATTATATTTTTTAACTCAGGGAGTTCAGATGAGATTAGATTCATGACAAAAGGATTATTATGAACATTAAACCAACTACCTTTCTTCTCTCCACGGCCCCCTAGTTAAAGGTCCCAGGCATACATAGGGAAATTTAGGGACATTTCTTGAGTATTTTGGTTTTTGATCTAAAAACTACCTTTCAAATTTACCAGTCGTTTTTCTCCATGTGATTATTAAATCATAGGACTTCCTTCACTTCCTCATTTCCCCCACAACCCCTCAAAAAAGAAAATGTTCACATCAGAGTATTGTCCTTCACAGTGATGGCATGAGAGACTGCAGTAACTCTTGGTAGAATCTTTTGGAAATTGCCTCTTGCCTAGAATATTTTGAAAACGGTTGTGAAATTACATAGAAGCAACTTTGGATCAATCTAAGAACGTCATCTTTATTAATTTTTTTGGCTGCATCTTTGGTTTGGTGTTGGTTTTTTGGTGGGTGTATGTGTGAATTCCCAAAGTACTAGCCAGCTCCATTACTAATTCACAGGCTTACCTCCAGTGACATTTATTTATAAAAATTCACTCTCCAAAGATAAAAGCATTGAAAAAATTCTAAAGGAGTACATAAACAAAATTTCTAAAAATTAGTTGAGTTCTGATTTTAATACAAAACTTAGAGACAACTATAATTGCTATGAATAGGCTAACACTCATTTGGCTGGATGTTGTAAATATCACTCTCATTAACTTTTATTATCTTGTATATTGGAATTCTTTATGTACCTATTAGCACATCTACCATCCCTATCCCACAGCAGTGTTACTTTGCAATTTCTTCAGTACCTGTCATTTGTCCTTCTAGGGGTTAGAGCGAATCTGTCAAGGAGCTTTTCATCTTAGGAAAACGAGCATGCAGAGGGGCAGGATGTATTGAGAGCTGCTCAGAATGGAAGGGACTATCTATGTGGGTCTTCTCCAACCATGGGTTGTGTCATACCTGCTCTTGCTCTACCAAAATTCATCCATAATGTTTCTAGTACCTCATCCTACCTTGATACATTAGATTTTTTAGTACTAAATAACATAAAAGCTGTAGTGAGCCAGAACTGTTGTCATTTATAAGAAAACTTTTCATCAGGCAATGTAGTTGTAAATTATACAAAAACAGCAACGAAGGGCCTAAACCTTACACCAAGTACAGTCCCAACCTGGTTTCTAATGTAATATATTAAAATTTTTCCTTGAGCCAAAATTGATACTTAAAAGCTAGGAAGCTTTTATGTATTTATGTTTGAATTTATTAACAGGAGATTACCTACTAATTGTATAGCAGTGTAACCTGTATTTCATATAAAAGTTAAAATACTGATATTACCTCTTAAAATGATACCTTTGCAAATAATACTGTAAATGACCATGCTACATCTGGATACCAGGAACAACTGCTAATGTAAGAGGTCAAAACAGGCAATTTGTTAAGTGTTCAAAATGATAAAGAGAAATATGTGATTGGTTTTTTTTTTTTTTTTTAAGACTGATGTGGGTTGAGAAGAACTGCAATAGGAATAAAGTGGGTCAGGATGATGCAGATGGGAATATTTAAAGATAATATAGCTTTCTAGATGACAGCTATAATAATAATAGCCGACATTTATTGAATTCTTTCTGTATACTAAGTGCTTTATATATGTCATTTCATTTAATCTTCACAACCCCATGAGATGAATACTGTTATCCCCATTTCACTAACTAAATCAATGCTTAGTTACTTGCCTAAAGTCATATTGCTAAGTCACAAGGACATGGTAGATCTAGATTTAAGTTTTCTATAAATACCTCTCATACATACCTCACACTTAATTATAGGTTTAAGTGTTTGTATTTCTTTTATTTCGAATATATCTTTTCTTTTCAGCAGAAACTATCTTTAAAAAATTAGAATGTCAGAAACAGAGAGGGAACTAGTAAAAGCTTAAGATTTGATTAAGATTATTTGATTAACATTTGATTAAGATTATTATCACATCAAAAGACCAAAAAAAGTCTTATACAGTGCTTTAAAATTATCTCAATGAAATGTTGATACTTATTATTATAGTAAAGCATAGGCAAGTGTAGGCATTGTGAAATTTCATGATCTAAGAACAGACCAGAATCTTACGTAAGCTGGCAATTTGGATCTATAACAGTACTGATTAGGTTGGTGGAGTTTGAATGCATCTGATTCTTGAAATTGTGAAATTGCATGAGGGAGGAGAACCCAGAGAGTATGTCCTGAAAGCCAAAGGAGAGAATTTTAAGAGGACATCTTAGCAACCTCCTATCAAAAAAGAAATATAAGGAATTGGTACCCAACAGTGTCAGATACCTCTGAAAGATTAAAGAGGATTGGAACTGAGAACAGCCATTATGCTGTAGTGATTTGGGCAGTGGAAACCTTTGAGAGAAGAGTTTCACTATAGTTAAGGGATTCGAGGCCAGACATAGAATATGATACCTGAAAGCAATTTTAAATAGTCATCTAGAAATCATTTTTATAGATAAAATATTTGAAGTTCAGAGAGATTAAATAATTTAAAGTAGGTCAGTAGTAGCCCTAGACTGGTGATGATTTTGCCACCCAAAGGGCATTTGGCAACGTCTAGAGACATTTTTTATTGTCACACCTGAGGAAGGGTGTGCTATTATTTAATAGCATCTAGTGGGTAGAGGCCAGGGATGCTGTAAAACATCCTGCAATATACAAGTCTCTTGCCCCCACGTACGTACCCCAAAAAATTATCTGACCCAGAATGTCAATAGTTACAAGGTTCAGAAACCCCCGTCTAGGATTAGCACCCAACTGATGCTTAAATCTAATCTACTTGTAAGGAAGTAGAAATCATGGACATAGACTATTCTTCAGTAGCGAGTAAGAAAGGGTAGAAGCTTCAAAAGAGGGGTTTTTTGAAACGTCTCTTTGAAGAGGAAAGCCTTGAGAATACTCCTAAGTCAAGGGAATAAACCAGTATACAGTGAAAGACATTAAGGGTAAAAGTTGTAGTATAACTGAAAAAGCTAAGCCTGGAGATAGAATCAACCATTAGGTAGTAGACAACAGTCTCTTGCTTTTCCTAAATCAGGTTAAATTATTTTACTCCAAAATGTAACAAAGACGGGCGATGTTAAGAATTGTCAGAGTAAATACATTTCTGAAATTAGAGAGTTTGACTAAAAAAATTTGTCTTCTAAAACGAATAATGAAGTTATGAAGTTGATGTACAGCATCTACTTCATATAAATGCTAAAGAAAGTTAGTCTTATGTAGTATTAAGTGCATGGACTGCCCTAGATTCAGTTTCAAGCCTTTCTTTTTTCTTTTTTTTTTTTTTTTTTTTGAGACAGAGTCTCACTCTGTTGCCACGTGCTAGGCTGGAGTGCAGTGGCACAATCTCAGTTCACTGCAACCTCCGCCTCCTGGGTTCAAGCAATTCTCCTGCCTCAGCCTCCCGAGTAGCTGGGACTACAGGTGCACGCCACCGCGCCCAGCTAGTTTTTGTATTATTAATAGAGACAGGGTTTCACCATGTTGGCCAGGATGGTCTCGATCTCTTGACCTCGTGATCCGCCCACCTAGGCCTCCCAAAATACTGGGATTACAGGCTTGAGCCACCACGCCTGGCCAGTTTCAAGCCTTTCTTCCCGCCATTTCTATGACCCTGAACAGATTTCTGAATCTCTCGGTGCCTTTTCTTCATCTAAAAAAAGTGGGGTTAAATATATACTCATGTAAAGACTAAGGACAATGCCTGAGACATAGTAAGTATTCAGTAAATACTATTTTAGCTATTAGCTATTTAGCATCAGCTGTTAAATAGAAGTTCTGTGCAGTAGTGGTTTATATTAATAATCCAGTGATGGCTTTGTCTGCAGAAGGTAGAGGTAGTTGAGTAGTTGAGATATTCTGTCTAACAAATAGCACCTTTTTTGGGCAGGGGGAGGGGTCATTTGATTACATGACCTTCGGCTCCTCTAGTAAAGAGATATGGTTGACTTACAATGGAACCTTTAGAAACAAAGTCAGAATGACTGGTTAAAATTACCATTATTTGTAATATCTGGTTCTGCTTATCATTGTACATATTTTGTATTCTCTAAATATGTGCTTGATATAATTTAGATAAGTACATACCCAACTTCTCTTGAAGTTAATGTATATAGTTTTAAATGTCTCATTTTAAGTATGTAATAGTATAGAACATATGTGAATTTGTACCTGATAAAGTATATCTGTCTCAACAAACTTAGACTATATCCAAATTAAAAAAAATAATATAATCACTTTTATCTTTCTATTACCAACTCTAATAATGGGCTTAAAACTCTTCTGATACTAGCTTTATCTGCCAATAAACTTCAGGTGGGTTTTCTGTGTCTATGTTTTCAGATCAACGGAAACATTTAAAAGAGAAGATGATCTTGACAGTCTGATTAATGAAATATTTGAAGAGCCCAACTTGGACAAAAAAACGTCTGTAAGTCAAGTGTTAGAAATATGTAGTCATTCTTTCATTATTTCAAGACATGTTTAGAATAACTTAAGGAAGATGAAAATAGCTACCCATTATCTTTTGAATTCTGAGAAACAGAATTACTTAAAGAAATTATTACACTTAAAGAGCTGTGGAAGCAGTATGTGTTTTTCTGTGCATTTATCAGTAAGAATAAAAAATTAGAAAAGCTGTTAGCATAGAAGTCAACTCACCATCCAGCTGGTCCCTTGTATTTATTTGTAGCCTCTAAGAACACTTTTCTAAAAGGCCAAAAACAGCTTTCATTATAGCAATGTGCTTAGCACCTCAGATGAAATGCCGTTGCTCTTATCCCATAAAGCAATAAATTGTTAATATTTAAATTTTTTAAATGTTTATGTGTCTATTTTAGCTGTATAAAAAGTTCACAGAATAATGTAACAGCAACCTATGTGCTAAACATACCATGACAGCCACCCATATTAAGCATATATTAATATTTACCATATTTGCTTCTCTGGACCTTTTTTTTAAAGAAGTACAAATTAGAGATATAGTTTTTAAGACCTCTCTAAATCCTACTCTGTTGCCTTCCTTCCCAAAGATAACCATTTATCCTTTCCATCCACACATTTATACTTTTATTACATTTGTATATAACCATAAACAATTGTAACTGTGTATAGTAGTCCATTGTATAACCCTGCCACAGTTTACTTATCTACTTCCCTGCTGATGGACATTTAGATTGTGCCCAGTTGTTTGCTATTACAAATAATTGGAGAAAAGGCATACAAATTTTCACATGTACACAGGGAAAACCATTGATTACTCTTTCATTAAATATCTTTGCATGGCTTTTTTTACCCATATGCGGTTGTTTCTCTGGGATGCATAAAGCTAGAATAGGAATTCCTAGGTCATCAGGTGTGCTCATCTTCAACTTTTCTACCCATTGCCAAATTGTTTTCCAAAGTGCCTTTATCACTTACATTTTTCATACTGTGCAGTAGATGAGAATTTATGTATTTTAATTTTTATCAGTAGGGTGTGTGTCAAGCATGTCTGTTAGATTTAAAAGAAAGATACAAAACAGAAGTCTAATTTACAAAGATCACAAAAAAATTAAGAAATAAATATAGTACCAGGGGGTTTTATTTTGTTTTGTTTTTTAAAGGATAGGGAAGATAAAAACAAAACAGTGGACTGAAAATAGCTAAGTAATGGGAGTGGTAAGAATATGGAGAGGAGAGACCATTTATATTTTTGTCAGCCAGACTAAAAATCAAATGACTAGTATAGATTTTAAGATCTGAATTTTTCAAAATTAAACACTTTCAATTCACCTAAAGTAAATTAATAAGCTGATACTGAGTTAAATAGTATGTCAACACAGTAGCAATATTAAGTACAGTCATTCCTCAGTATACTCAAGGGATTGGTTTCAGGACCCCCACGTATGCCAAAATCCATACATACTCAAGTTTCACAGTCAGCCCTATATAACCGCCTATGTGAAAAGTTGGCCCTCTATATATGGGGTTTTGCATGCCACAAATAGTGGATTTCCGATCCTTGTTTGATTGGAAAAATTCCACATATAACTGGACTTGTGCAGTTGAAACGCATGTTTTTCAAGGGTCACCTGTACCCTGCAAACAGAATACTTCATAAGTGCCGAGTAAGTGCGTAGGCACGGAATAGTAATGCCAATTAGTAGTATTAATAGTAGGAAAAAATTACATCATTTTGTTGCTCTTCATTAGTTATTAATATTATTATTCATTATTAAGTACTATAGGGTGCATATCTGTATATGAGGCACTATCTCTTCAGTTAAGGTGTTTCAGAAGAAGATAAGTACTTCTCTGGTTTGGGTTTAAGATATACTAATTTGAAATAAAAGTAGCTCTTACAATAATGAAGAAATAAATTTTTAAGCATGATCTTTTCCTTTTTTAGTTATGTATTGTGTCCAGTGTTTCAACCTTCAAAGGAGACAACAGGTCTAAGTAAAACATTTATTGGGGAAAAAAACAGTTATTAAGAAGCATCGATAAACAGATGGTCTATGCTGACATTGTCATTAGAGTTTAATATTATGCCCTGAAAATACTACTCCCCCACCTCACCCCCTGCTTTCCCATTCTGTTGCATTTCTGAACTGTTCCCAGAGCCACGCAAGAAAGCCCAGGAACCAACAACAAACGTCAGAGTGTGTCAGCTTAGAGTCATAAACCTGAGTTTGGATGGTGCATGAAACATGCTCCCCAAACAGAAAGACTTGTGCAAATTACTATTTTTCAGACATGTACCAAAAGTTTTTCCAGTTCTGCTTAACATCAAATAAGAGTTGAGAGAAATAGTAAAACAATATTTTCGCCTCTATTAAATTTCCTCACCCACTATGTAAAATGAAGGCAGGTCTCTGCATAGTTTAAATTGCCTTTTCTCCATTTCACTTCCTCTCCTTGGCGGTGGTCCTAGTGTGTGGTTGGTTTATGTTGTTTGGTACCATATACCAGTTAACACTTAATAAATGCTTGCTAATGATGATGATATTATGTAACCATATAGGAACTACTGTATGGTTGTGACTAGGTAGCTCTACATTTTCCTTGAACATTTATTGGTTGATACCATTCCATTTCATCAAAATTAATATTCCTGAAGTTACACAGGAGCTTGGTTAGTTTAATTTTAGTTCATATGACGCACATTCACAGCCTTTAAAAATGAGTCTGAGGTTTTTTTCTTCCTGAATTGAATTTTTCTAGAATGAAGTTTTAAATAGCAGGTCCTTCATATTAAATCATTAAACTGTAATATTAACTGAAGAGTTATAAAGTGACTCTAAATCTTAGCATGCTAATAATGGCAATATATCAATTTCCTAGCCTAAAAGTTAGTAGAGTAATTTGCAAATTCCTTAGGGAGTTCTACTTCCCTTTTGCCTTTAAAAGGTTTTAATCATTGTTTTTATTTCAGAAACTTAAAAATGATGCCATCAAAATTTGTATTTAAGTCAGTTAGAAAACATTCCTGTTATAAAGAATATTAGTTTTCATGTTACAGTTTTCTAAGTTACTCGTGGCCTTTTATTGTTTTGCTTTTTTAACAGAAATTAAAATCTAAATCTTCCGGTAACACATCTGTCAGAGCTTCCATTCAAGGCCTTGGTAAAAGGTAAGTTGAGATTGCTTTGGTGAATTCTGCATACTACTGAGCAAACACTATGAGCATAGTCTAGTAGATTTTGTTACCATTTAAACAGCAGTGAGATTGAACAACAAAGCACTGGTTGGCCTTCAGGAGAAAGACCAATAGCAATATCTTCAGTGTTCTTATGGTCTGTGACCCACTTCATGTAAAGGAAATTAAATGGGGAATTATTGCTATTGTAAATAATTTTCTGCCGCTTAAAAAAAAGTGTGAACAGTTTCTCAAAATTAATGTTCTGTTATATTTGTCAGTATTTGCTTCGTCCCTTACCTTATTTGGCAAACACATTTTTCCTTTACTCATTTTAACTCCTTGAGTGTTCCTGAATGTACAGGTTACATCCAATAAAGCAGTGATCCTACAATAAATATGTCTTCTTTGAAATGATTGGTTTGCTAGGGAAAATATACAATTTGATTACAAGAACATAAAGTCAGTAAAAACAAAACTTTTTTAACAGGGCCAAATTCTCCTACTTTTTGTTATAACTTCATATTTTTGTATCTGTTAAACACGTCTAGTTGCAGTCCGGTGTACCTTGGTGGAAGCTCTATTCCATGTGGGATTGGAACAAGTATTTCATGGAGGTAGGATGTCAGAAATGTATTATACTTTTTGCTGGGTTTTTTCCAAATGGATGCTCAGTTGTTAAAATGTAGTTCTTATCATCTTGGCATCAGTCTGTTTTATAAGGAGAGGTATTTTTATTAGCCAGTCTAAGAATTGTTTGTTTATTATTCTTGGATGATAGCTATTGAAAGCTGTGCTGTTTGGTATATATTATTCATTGTATTGATGCTCTCTTTTCTAAGCCCCACTTGAAATGCCTGGATCACTCCAATCCCAGCGTTGTTTCCACAGGACACAGGAGAGTGAACTTCCTTCCAGGCAGTGGAAGCCAGTCAGTAAGGCAGTTAAAGCAAAGTGGGCAAGCAGATACATGATGACTTACCCACACTGCCTTGACCAGTTAGCATGTAGAGCTACAGGTCTGCATTACCCAAAGCATTCTCAAGCATAGTCGCTTGGTTTTACATGTTTACATATGTCAAAAGCAGAAACCCTGTTTTTTTGTCTCTTCCTTGCCCTTCCTACACCCGCTTTCTCACTTAGTACCTCTTTCTGGGCAGTCTTATAGTTGTAATGCCACCTACCCCAAACCCGTATTAGCCCCATCATCTTAGCACATTCTATTCGCATTTTCATAATGTAGGCAAACAGTTTGGTTTTAAGCAAATCCCACTCTCCTGCTGCTTTTGGTTCAATTTTTGGCAGAGGCCTCCTTACCTAGCTTAGTTTATTGAATATTTTTATCTAGTTATTTCTAAAACACTTATTTTCGTTAATTTTTTAAGAAAAAAAGGCCTAAGTTATATTATTGCATGTTGATCACATTTCTGGAGGGATAACTGTTACATAGTCAAGTGTCACCAACAAGGATACATTCTGAGAAATATGTCATTAGGTGACCTCTTCATGTACAAACATCATAGAGCATACTTACACAAACCTAGATGATACAGCCTAGTACACACCTAGGCTGGATGATACACCAGCCTACTACAACTACTAGGCTATAAACCTGTACAGCATATCACTGCACTGAATATTATAGGCAATGGTAACACAATGGTAAATATTTGTGTATCTCAGTATTAAAAAGGTACAGCAAAAATGCAGTATAAACGTTTTTCTCGTGGTTTCTTTTTTGAGATGGAGTCTCACTCTGTTACCCAAGCTGGAGTGCAGTGGAGTGATCTGGGCTCACTGCAACTTCCACCACCCAGGTTCAAGTGATTCTCCTGCCTCAAGCTTCTGAGTAGCTGGGATTACAGGCGTGTGCCACCACGCCTGACTAATTTTTGTATTTTTAGTAGAAACAGAATTTCACCATGTTGACCAGGCTGGTCTCTAACTGCTGACCTCGTGATTCACCCGCCTGGGCCTCCCAAAGTGCTGGGATTACAGGGGTGAGCCACTGTGCTGGCCTTCAGATTTTTTAAATGGTACAGCTGTATAGAGCACTTAGCATGAACAGAGTTTGCAGGCCTGGAAGTTGCTCTGGGTGACTGAGTAAGTAGTAAGTGACTGGGAAGACGTAGGACATTACTGTACACTAGTATAGACTTCATAAACACTGTAACGTAGGCTACACTAAGTTTACTTTAGAAACCCTTTAATAATATTAACCTTAGCTTACTGAAACTTTTTTCATTTATAAACTTTATTTTTAAATTTTTGATTATTTTATAGAAACAATTTAAAACGCAGATTGTACAGCTATACTAAAATATTTTCTCTCTTTGCATCCTTATTCTATAAGCTTTTTTCTATTTTTTCATTGTTTTTTACTTTTTAAACTTTTTTGTTAAAAACGAAGACAACACACACATCAGCCTAGGCCTATACAGGGTCTGGGTCATCCATATCACGGTCCTGCACCTTCACCTCTTGCCCCACTGGAAGGTATTCATTGGGGGGTGTCATCTCATGACAACAGTGCCTTCTTCTGAAATACCTGCTGAAGGACCTGCCTGAGGCCGTTTTACAGTTAAATTTTTTTAATAAGTAGAAGGAGTACATTCTCAAATAATGATACAAACTATAGTTTAGTAAAAACTGAACTAGTGACATAGTTTATTATCATTATCAAGTGTTAAGTACTATACATAATTGTATGTGCTGTTTTTATACAACTGGCAGCTCAGTAGGTTTGTTTACATCAGCATCACCACAAACACATGAGTAAGCACTGTGCTATATAGGACAGCTATGATGTCACTAGGAATAGGAATTTTTCAGTTCCATTATAATCCTGTAGGACCGCTGTGGTATATGTGGTCCATTGTTTACCAGAACATCACTGTGGCACATTAACTGTATTGAATAGTAGAAGTGGGAGTTAAAAAGACATTGGAGGGTTGAAATGGTGCCAGCCTACATCCAAGGAAGCCCGGAAGGTAGGGCTATAGGACCAAAGTGAAATTAGAAGTCTGGAGAAGCCTTATAAGCTATAGGACCAAAGTGAAATTAGAAGTTTGGAGAAGCCTGAGTATATAAGGCAGCCAATAGGCTAATATAAATTCACTGGACTGGTACCTGCTGTAACAGCTGTAAAGAAGAATTGATAGTAATTGAATCATCATGTGTTAAGGACTCTCTCTACAAAGAATTAGAGCTACAAACTGCCTATAGAGTTGAATTTAGTGTTTTTGCCATCAGTCCTAAGTTACCCATCTCAGCTTGGTTGGGACTTGTCTCCGTCATTTTCAGAGCCATGCCTCCTCTATTCCAGGCATGTGTCAAGTCACCCATGAACCACAGCAACAGTTTCCCAGTTACCATCCACTTCCGTCTTTTCTAGTATCACCCACATAGAGCATTCAAGATAACATCCCTAAAATATTATTTTGAGTGTTTCTCCCCTGTTCAGAAGGAAAATTAGAGTTCCCCTTTGTCTCACATTAACTCTAAACTCACTATTTACTTTACCAAATTGTTATCGTTGCTGTTCCTCTTCTCTCTTTAGTTCCTTCAGCTCCAATTACAGCCTGGGTCAGATATCCACTTCCACTAGGATGCTTATCATTCTCTACTTTCCACTTAAGTTTTGCCGTGTCTGAGTATATTTACATTTATTCCCTATCTGGAACGTTACTCCCTTCTAATGCATGTCTCCTGCTGCCTTACCTGTTTAATTCACATACATCAGATTGATTTTTCTATTTGAATTTTTTCCTTTTTTAAAATCTATTGAATACCCATATCCTAAACCCTATTCTAGTTTACCATTAAAAGGCAAAACATTGGCCAGTGAGGAACAAAGAAGCAGATGATTACTCCTATGGCATGAAATGGAAGGGCTCTGGTGACAGAATGCCTGAATTCAAAGGCTCACTTTGCCGCTAATAAGCTCTGAAGCCTTAAGAAGGGATGCTATCTTCTCAAACCTATTTCCTCACTCTTAAAAACTAAGCATATTTCGTGGAGATACTCTGAGGATTAAATGAAATAATACTTGAAAACTGTGCCTGTGGTGCAAAAGACAGGCACAGTACTGCAGGCACACTGGGTTCTAATTATGGTACCTTTCTCATCCATTATTTCTGCTTTCTCATTATGTTACAGCTCAGAGACAAGAATCTTATATTCTACTAGTTTTCCATTTTATCTCAGGAAATACATATACTTATAGGTGCCTTTTGTTTTTAAAAATGATCTTTAAAAAATACATTCTAGTTTACTCCTAAAAAGTAAATATTTTGTTAAAAGATTTTCTTATATGTGAAATATTTTGTGTGTACTTTGACTTAGTTCTAGCACAGATGAAATCTTTGCTAGATGGAATTTCAGTAAACAAAAGAACAGCCGTTTTCATAGCTCGAGGCTCCTATCACATACCATTAGTCCAGTGGGATGCCAAAATCAATTATACCCCATTTCTACCTCCTGCACAGCTGTGAGAAGAGATACCAGTTGCATATATATGCACAGGTAAATGTTTATATTCACAGATCTTTTATTAGTTGCTCCTTTCATGACACAGAATTTGCACCCATAGAAAGATAAACACGTGTTCATCTGCATTTGCAGCGTTTTATGTGTAAGTACTTTATACCGTCCAGAGCACTTTTTATATATGCATATTCATTTACCTGCTCCACAGGGAAAAAAATCCAAGATTCTGATCAAGAATTTTTACCTCCATTTTATAAATGAAGAGATTGAGGTACTTGTGTTAAATTCGTCAAACACATATTAACCACCTGGTAGGTCCTAGGGATTAAGTGAACAAATTATGGTGAACAAATAAATGGATACTTTCTGTCCTCAATGAGCTTTCAGTCTAGGTGAGGAGATAGGCTTTGAATACATGATTCCACAAATAAGTATTTAATTTCCATTGGATATGTGGCGTAAAGGGAAAGTATGGGATACTATAAGCATAGATGATGGACACTCTAACTAATATGAAAGGTCAAGGAATACTTCTCTGAGCAGATAACCAAACCACAGTCTGAAAAATGAGTAAGAATTAGGCAAAGAGAGGTGACCATTGGAGCCAGAGAGCACACATGTTTAGAAGATCCCTGCGAAGGGGAGGAGCTGGTGGTGGTCCTCTGGAGGAAGGAACAGAGAGCATCTGTCCGTTCTGGAGCATAATGACTAGAGAAAGAATGGCTGCTGATGGGGCTGGAGAGAGAGTAGAGAGACATTTGGCTTCAGGTCCTCTAATCCTTTGGAGGATTTTGGAAAAGGTATGTCCTGTGTGCAATGGGTCAGACTTGTGTTTCTTAAGTCATGTTGGCTGCTTTGCAAAAAATGGCTTGGTAGTTGGAGGGGCAAAACAAGAAAGGACACAGGAAGACTAGTCAACAGGCAGTAGTTAGAGTGGTCCAAGAAAGAGACGATGGGAGCTGTGACCTCAGTGGTAGCAATTGCTATAGGGAAAAAGTCAAATTTGAAATATTTAGAATGTAGAATTGACAGAATCCAGTGATTAAGTAACTAAAGGAGGTAAGAGAGAAAGTTGTTAAGAATAACTCTAGAAAAAAGAGAAAAAAAAGAATAACTCCCAAATAATATGTCATATCAAATATTACAAAGCAAGGATTCAAATTGGTGACTTGATTCCTAATCCATTATGCTTTCTATGATACCACTTGGCAGAAAGCCATGTAATGTATGTAAGTGGGAAGAATCTTAGCTGATGTTGCTGTTGGAACTGCTGTTATTTTCAAACTTCTAAACATCAAGATTCTGTGCTCCCATTGTGCAGATCTGATAGGATTTAACAGAGAACCACAGTATCTGGGCAGAAGATTATATTGGGTTGGTTTTGGGGCATTCTTATCATAAACATCTGTAAAACAGTGAATTCTACTTATAGGCTGGACAAAAGAACAAAGCTATGTGACATATATGATTTCCTCTACGTTTTAGAGGGAAAGACTTGACAGTTCGTCTTTCACTGGAGTCATGACTTTATATTAGATATGCTTTTATGTACATAGCTATGAAAGAGACATCTATTTCAGCCATGAAAAAAAGTACTGATTTACACAGCCAGGGCATAAAGGAAACCGAATCTATCCTGCCTATTTGTGTTGTTTGTTTGATTTCTAGATACAGCTCTGGTTTGAGGTAGTGCTGAATGACTTTAGATTTTAGAAAATGATTTGCCTTTTACTGGTTGGTGGAAAGGGGAGAGAATAGTAGTAGGAAGAATGGTGGCAGTAATAAGTAGTACAGATAAAATGAAGGCATTTTCAAGCCAATCCAATTTTACTCTCCTAATTATTTTTTAAACTACTGCAAGACTGGATTATTCCATAGACTGGTACTAATTATGATCTAATAGAGGAAATTGTAGCAGTGGAATGATTTCTTAGCTGCAAGTTAGTTTTATGTTTCTCAAAGGACAGTGTTTGTAGGAAAATGTGGTAGTGTGAATAGATTTGAATAAACTACTAAATTTTAAATTAAATTAAAAAGCTGTATTTAACATTATGGTTGAGATTTTACACATACAAAATGTCAGGAAATTCTAAATTATAGTTCCCACAACAGCAATAATTCAGCCAAATTGCACATATGTATTAAGGCATTAAAGTTAACACTCTGTGCAATCATGTAATAAACTACGTATGCATAAGAAAGCAAGTCATAGTAGCTTTGGAAACTATCATTTTGCATTTCCTGACTTGTACATTCGAAATCTGAGTTCAAATGTGTACAAACGTAGTTGTAGAATTTCCAAATGTAGAAATGCAACTTCGTAAATTGCTAACAGTTTGAAAGAAAATATGGACTTGCCTATGAAACTTGTATAGGTTTTAAATGTTTCCTTATTATTATGGTTAATATTTTTAGACATATAAAGCATTTATTCTCAAACTTTCAGGCCAAAAGTATTTACAATTTTGAAATTAGCATATCTGAACTTTGAAAGGAAATAAATGAAAAAAATATAATGTTTTCATTTCATTTTTTCATTACAGAAGTATTATATGGTTATTGAAAGAATAAAAACAAAATTGAAGCACGTATAAAGAAAAAGATAATAATCTCCCTTCCTTCCCTTTATTCAGTTACTCCTGATGCAACCAGTGTTACTGGGTAGTATATAACTTTCTGTATTTTGCTCCTTGTAAACTTATAGCCACCTATATAGGAATTTTTGTGGGGGATTGTTTTTATAAAAATAGGATCATGCTGTATATGTTAGTGTACACCTTTCTTCAGATGTCTCTCTAGGTTAGTAAATAAATCTAACTAATGCTCTTTATCAACTGCCTGATATTCCATTTATAAATATACTGCATGTTACTCAGTTTTTTCCCATTTTGATAGATAATCAGGTAGTATCCTGTTTTTTGTCACTTTGACAATACTAAAGTAAAAATTCTTGAGATATATGTTTATATACTGGTGCTTTTATTTGTACCTATCCCAAAATGGGATTGCTAGTAATGCCTAGGTATAAATTTTAATTTAAAAGTAATACCTGGGAGGCCAAGGCAGGCGGATCATGAGGTCAAGAGATGGAGACCACTCTGGCCAACGTGGTGAAACCCCGTCTCTACTAAAAATACAAAATAAAAATACAGCTGGGCGTGATGGCGCATGCCTGTAGTCCCAGCTACTCAGGAGGCTGAGGCAGGAGAATCGCTTGAATCTGGGAGGCAGAGGTTGCAATGAGCCAAGATTGCGCCATTGCACTCCAGCCTGGCAACAGAGCGAGACTCCGTCTCAAAAAAAAAAAAATTATAATAATAATACCAAGAATTTTCCCAAAAGATTATAGCAGCTCACATACCCACTAAAAACATATGAGAGTGCTAATTTTTCCCAAATTAATTGATGAAAGAATATATCTCATGGCTGTAATTCTATGAAGTGTATGTGAGTACTTTTATGATCCCCATTTTACAGATATGGAAACTGAGTCATGTAGAAGTTATTTTTAACAGTTACACAGATAGTAAATAGTGGAATCAGCATTTGAACCCAGGCAATCTGTGTCCAGAGTCCATGTCCTTAACTACTATTCTTTGCTGCCTGTGCTACAGAGAGTGATTATTGTTTTTATTTTTTTTTTAATTTTGTCATTAGTAAGCATTTTGTGTGTAGTGTAAGTATTTAACCATGTGTTGAAAATGAAATGTTTTCTTCCACTCTGTTACTGGTGTCTTCGCCTTATTTTTTTGGTATCTGAAAAACATGTCCTTTTAATTTTTTGATGATCAAATGCATCTGTGTTGATTCTCATTTTTGAACACTCCAAACAATGGAGTGCATCAGAATTATTATAGCATTCAAATTGTTTGCAGCAGCAATTCCTAATTCTTTTTTACCTTGCTCTGTAATATTTTACTCTTGTAGTTGCTATGTAGTATATATATAATTGCATTTTGAGGGTTGCCTGTAATTTTAATCCCTCAGATACTCATTAAATACCTGTTGTATGCTAAGTATCATTCTAGCAGTTCTGCCCACTCTCTCCAACATTATCAGTTTTGTTCTTCACTGCATCTTGAACATCAGCACACAGCATGCTCCTTTTCCTCCTCTCTTAAACATAATCTCTTAAACCCACTTCCTTCTAAAGAAACTAAAAGGTACCACTCCATTTAAAGAAATTATCAGATATACCTTCTATGTAAGGCCTATGCAGACCACCTTATTTGAAATTGGAACCCATCCCCTCCTCATACTCCCAGTTTTCTTTACCCTACTCTACTTATTTCATTCAAAGCACTAGTGGCCTCTAACACACTTTATAATTTAGTTATCATGAGTATTGTTTATTTCTTCTCTCACTACAGTTGAAGACCCATGAAGACAGAATCTCACTAACACATACTAGATTCTCAATAAATATTTTTAAGTGAGTGAATGAATGCATTATGCCAAGTTGTGAGGAAGTAGAAACAAATATGATCTTTTCCCAGCACTTCAGCAGCTTATGGGAAAAGCAGATTCATTTCAATGTAATGTGACATATTCTTTGGTAGAGATATTCCTGAAAATTTCAGTAGGAAGGGAAGCATTTAAAGAAGTTAGCTTAAATACACTTACAGCATATCTAATATCTTTAAAGTGTTGTAAGTTATAAGGTCTCCCTCAGACATAATTTGAAAACACCATGGCATTAAAAGATCTACAAATCTGTTTTCTCCCATATCTATATATGTGTATGTTCATTGTACAAGATTGTAGTAAAATAGGTAGGTTTATGCAAAAATTTAACCTTAAGGTTTAGACTATAAATAATGCTTTAGTATAAACAATTATAATCAAATTAATCTGTACTTTTCTGTTGTTTATTCAGTAATCTAATATGTGGTGTGTCCTATAAATAAATCACCATGTTTTCACATTTAAAGATACCAATAATCTTTAATATACCATTCTTTTTTCTCTGAACAGAGCATGTAACCATCTGCGTTGTATAGCCTGTGATTTCTTGGTGGTAAGCTATGATGACTATATGTGGGACAAATCATGTGATTATCTGTTTTTCAGGTATGTTACTAAAGAACTTCACTCTGAAAAATGTACCAAGTACTTCATATTTCTTATTTTGACATATTCTCTTGGTGGATTTGGCCAGATCATGTGGGCTTCACCTCTTCAATACAGCCATGTGCTACATTACGATGTTTCAGTCAACAATGGACTGCATATACATGGTGGATCCATAAGATTATAATGGAGCTGAAAAATTCCTATCACCTAGTGACAACATAGCCACTGTAATATTGTGCCGCAATGCATTGCTCATGTTTGTGGTGATGCCGGTATAAACAGTAACATGCTGTAGAGGCTTGTAGCCTTGGAACAGTAGCCTATACCATATAGCCTTGGTGTGTAGTAGGCTATACCATGTAGGTTTGTGTAAGTTCACTCTATGATGTTCACACAATGAGGGAATTGCGTAACAAAGCATAAGCAATGCATGACTGTGTTTCTGTCATCCATCTCTTTCTCTCCATCTGTCTGCTGTCAGCCTAGATAAGAACATGTTACTTCTGGACAAGAATACAGAAGTAGCCTTTTCACTGGTTTTTCTGCCTACAGTCTCTTCTTTCAGACCATCCTTCCCTTGTTCAGAATTAAAGCATAGCTCAGAGTGTACTGTCCTGCCCAACACTCTTCCACTTACAGAATAATGTCCAAATTCCATAGCATGGCATTCATGACCCTCCGCAATCCAGCTCCCATCCATCCATCATCCAGCTTGGTCTTCCCACAATGTATATTTCACCTTTACAAGATTTTAGCTACATCAGAATACTCAGGTTCCCATTCCCTCTGACTTTGTACAACCTCTTTACCTCCTAGGTTGCCTTCCCATCATTTTATCTACCTATACCCTACCTGTCCTTCAGAGTACAATACATCACAGGTCTTCCATGATACTATCACCACTCTCTCAGCTGAAAGAAAACTCTTCCTTTCCTGTGTATTCATGGTGCTTTGGACATATTATATACTGTAATATAAAACTGAAGCACTTAGGTTGGTGTATTACTGCCTTTCTTGTGGCTGAGATAATGCCTTACTCATATTTATATAATTTGTACATTCTTGTACACTTACGGCATACCTAATATCTGTAAGGTGTTACAAGTTATAAAAATATATTTGAACTTTTCATTGACATTTTCAAATAAAAATTTAAAGCTAAAAATTAATACAGTGTATTATTGCAGCACTTTTTAGTAGCATGAAGAAAAGGGTAAGAGACTTTCCCCTACACCTCCTTTGGCAGCCATTCTTGGGTAAATCTGTGAGTATACCCTAATTTAATTGTTTTTAAACTTTTTCACATCAAGAACCACTTTGAAAATCTATGAAAGCGTTGAATCCTCTTCATACACATACACACAATTCAAATATAAAAATACATGGAAAAATTATAACTTGAAAAGTTTTACAGTTTCCAACCCAAATAAAGCCTAATGTATTCCCAAAATTCGAGGTCAGGAACCCATACTTTTAGGCTTAGCCCACTTTTTAAGCCATTAGTGAAAAAGTTAGCTTTTAATTACAGGTTCACTTTTCCTTCTCTGACTTTTCTAAACCCTCTGCTATTTACTATCTACTAGTTAATCTAATAAGTGGTTAATAATCCCCATATGTCACCAAGATGAAGCATGAATTTTCATAAAACTGTCATAGAATAATAAATGCATGTAACATCAAGACAGTGGTGAACACAGGCATAAACTATGGATAACTTAGTCGGTACTACTTGCAGTATCTCAGAGTCATCAAGAACACCAGTTGGTTTACCCGAGATCTGTGGCAGCCTAGTTTAAAAATATATGTACTTTTAGATAAAACAGTGACAACCAGAGGATTTATTATACTATTAAAAATAAACAAGTAGTCATTATTTAAATCAGTAGAAAATACTATCTCAGTTCTCAAGACACTTAGGAATATGTTTGGGAGACAAGAGAATGGAACAACTAAAGAAATAAGGCAGTCTTCACCATCAGGATATAAATCACTGATGTGATAGTTATTTTGTATAGTATATTGGTGTTTCTTTATCCAGTAGACATTATTCAGCATCTAGTCTATGACACTCTTAGATACTGGGTTTGTAAGATGAGAGGAACCCAGGGGAAGGAGACATGGGAGGGGACAAGCATGTGAGTAGCAAGGTTGTACAGACAGTAGGGCCAAGAGCACTGATGGGAGGTGAGCCTTGGATGGGAAAAGGAAGACCTCTATGACTGTGAGGAAGCCAGCAAGGTACTGATGTGTTCAGGGAGAGCTTGCCAGGAAATTGAAGGGTTTCATACCTGGCGGCCTGGTTTTGAGAATGAAGATGTGATCTGCTGTAAATAAGGGAGTGGAGTGGGAGTTGAAGAGGATGTGGAATAATCACTGAGGAAACCAGAAGTAGGCAGTGACCAAAGACAAGTTAAAAGGTTTGTAGAGTACCATTCAATGTCCAGCAGAACACAGGGAGCCATTTATTTTTAGCAGTGTCGATCTGCACATTTGTTACACAGTGAAATGCTATACAGTTGTTTGTTTTATTGTTTTATTTTACAGATGAGAGAAATAAATGTATCCTAGCTTTGAGAAGTTTTAGAACTTTTTTTTTTTTTTTGAGCCAGAGTCTCACAAGTCATGTTGCCTAAGCTGGAGTGCAGTGGCGCAATTTCAGCTCACTGCAACCTCCACTTCCTAGGTTCAAAGAATCCTCCAGCCTTAGCCTCCCGAGTAGCCAGGAATTCAGGTGCACGCCACCACATCCAGCTAATTTTGTAGAGATGGGGTCTCGCCATGTTGCCCAGGCTGGTCTCAAACTCCTAAGCTCAAGTAGTCCACCCACCTCGGCCCCCCAAAGTGCAGGGTTTATAGGCATGACCCACCACACCTGGCTGAGTTTTAGAACATTCTAAAGGGAGTGTAAGCTATAATTCTTCACCACCTTGCCACAACAGCTGAAGAAAATCCTTTTATTTTTCTATTAAATCGTGTTTTCTTTAAGGAATGGAACGATTTTTCCCTAAGCTTTTAAAATATGTGCATTTTTAAAAAGCATTTGAAATGTCGTAATTAGATCCCTGCCTATTCATGATTCCTAATCTAAAATCTCTAAGGATTCAGTCAAGTATCAAATGTTAAGTTTTTAAAATATTTTACAGATCAAATAAAGGACGTTTTTCCTCAACAGCTTAGTTTTGGTGGGGTTTTTTCTTTTTGTTAAAATTTATATTATTCATTTCTCCCCTCAGCTAAGACTGTTTCCTGAAATCAGACGTTGGCTTGGAAAATCTCGCAGGTTTTGTCAGGTTCTAACCTTCTAAATTGTGCCTGAATTTTGTACAATGTGATACTGAATGTGTGGCCATTGACCACCAGAGGGCACTTTGTAGCCTGCCTTCTGTTGCAGTAATACCCACAAGTAATGTTTAGATAGTGTATCTCTTTTTCTAGCATTCATACTGTATTTCATGCTTTTTTTCATCATTTTATTTTTAATTTTTTTCCATTTTTCTTTGCCACGTAATGTTTATATTAACTCATTACACAGAGTGTCATGAAAATAATTTATTAATTAAACTTCTGTAGTCTTTTTTATAATAGTATCAAATCCAATGGTTCTCATTTTCACAATAGCCCTACTTGTTGATTTAATTATTTCAACATTATTAATATGTATTTCAGGATAGACATTTTTGTTATTGATAGTATGAGTAAATAAGCAGATTATTGAAACTGATCAAAATTTTCCATAGTTAATTCATCAGAAGTCTATGATCTTTATATCTCTAATGTTCTCTTTACTCGCCATATTGAAGGGCTTTAAAATATGGCATAGTTGAGGATCTGAGGTGGGAGATGAACCACCATCCTTTCCACCCAATTTTCATATTATTTCATCTCTGATAGGACAAATCAGTAATTCTCCAGCCCTTTAGGTTATTGTATTCTACGACCGTCAGTAAACTGGCCTAGAGAATTGCCATGAAAAGTGCAGATTACCAAAGAAATACTATCAGAAAGAGAACACTGAAGCATGTCTTCTAATGTTAGTGTGAGGGGATCTAGGTTGTTCAGTGTTCATGTACTAGGAAGGTAAGAAAATAGGCTGGGCACCGTGATTCACACCTGTAATCTCAGCACTTCATGAGGCTGAGCTGGGTGGATCACTTGAGTCCAGGAGTTTCAGGTCAGTCTGGACAACATACTGAGACTTCATCTCTACAAAAAAAAAAAAAAAAAATTTAAACCGGGCATAGTTGGGAATAATTCCAACAAAGTTATAATCTTAGTCTTATGCCTGTGGTCCCAGCTACTTGGAAGGCTGAGGTGGAAGCCTGGGAAGTCAAGCCTGCAGTGAACCATGATCATGCCACTGCACTCCAGCCTGGGTAACAGTGAGACTCTTGCTCAAAAAAAATAAAGAAAGCAATGACTTTTTTTTTTTTTTTTTGAGTCATTAAACACTGAACAAAGCCACTGTGCTAAAACTTTCCTGTTTTACTAATAGGAACAACATACCAGAATTCCACAAATTAAAAGCCAAGTTGATAAAGAAGAAAGGAACACGAGCGTATGCCTGCCAGTGTAGCTGGAGAACTATTGAAGAACTGACTGACCTTCAGACAGATCATCAGCTTCGTTGGGTTTGTGGTAAACATTAAGAATGCAGACTGCACATTCAGACAGTTGCATCCATGAGAGCAGTATCTGTTAATCAACATAATGTTTGGGCAGTGGTCCCTAGCAATACATTCCCTGTGGGGAAAAAGCAGTGAATTTCACTGATACAACTACACACAGTTTTTAAGACCAAATGGACTAAGGAAGATTATTATAACACTTTGGAATTATTTTTTTCATATATATATGGATGTTTCACTTAGTAAGTAACAGCCATCTACATTCTTTACTAATCTGTCTTCTGTTAAATAGAAGTTTAATTATGGAGTTTCATACAAATACCTAGTTTTTCACTAGTAACTTCAACATTGATTGCTAATACGCTTAGCAAAACATTCCCCACTTGTAGCAGTTAAAACAGATAAAGCCGGCCAGGGCAGAGAGGTCATCTAGGGGTGTCTACAATACTTCCTCCAAACAGATCTGTTGTTGGCAAAGATCATAATTTAGACATGGAAGAAACCAGGTGATCAGTGGCTAACTGAAGGGTATTCAGGAGTTACAGGTATTTTGCAAAAACACTGCCTCATAGTTGATCTTACCTCACAAACTCAAAGCAATGTTATGTACATTAAATATATGTTACTAGTTCTAGCTTATTTTCCCTCTTTTGTTTATTAGATATTGAAAGTTATTTTCTCTTTTCAATACTCAATAATATATAAAAAGTTTGATGCATCTAAAATCACAAAAACTCTGAAACATACAGGTTATTGTTGGATTTTTCAAGTACTTTCTATCCTTTAATACCTAAAACTCCATCAAGTGAAGAAAACAGCAAGTAAGATAATTTTTCAGGCAGCCTGTGGACTTTTCTGGTAGGATCAGGTTGACATATCATTTATTAGGTGAGTACATGAAAAGAGAAAGCATATCTGAACCAGCAGGTAACCTGTTGGGCTCCCTCCTGACATCACAGAGATCTGAGGAACCCTACAATAGCAGCACACTGAGGAAATCAGATCCCTCAAAATTTCTAGCTCCCAACCCCACTGAGAGATTTTGGGAGCTTTCCAATCTGCCACAGACTCTCTGCTACATGTGTCTACTATATAAGTTCAGATGTGTGACGCAGGGCACACTGAAAGGGAATAATTCCAACAAAGTTACAATCTTAGTCTTATGCTGAATTTGTTCCAGCCACCCTACTGAAGGGAGGAAGATGTGATCATTAGAATCCTTTTCCTAGCCACGACACATTTACATACTTGTGAAATTTACTGTAGTAAATCTAGCATTACAAAAGAACAGATCTTATAATGGCCAATGCTCATACTTTTGTATTAAGGATATTATGGCAGACCGGACGTGGTGGCTCACACCTGTAATCCGAACACTTTAGGGAGGCTGAGGCAAGCAGATCAGCTGAGGTCAAGAGTTCAAGACCAGTCTGCCCAACATGATGAAACACCGTCTCTACTAAAAATACAAAAATTAGCTGGGCGTGGTGCTGCATGCCTGTAATCCTAGCTACTCGGGAAGCTGAGGCAGAAGAATTGTTTGAACCTGGAAGGCGGAGGTTGCAGTGAGCCGAGTTGGCACCACTGTACTCCAGCCTGGACGACATAGTGAGACTCTGTCTCAAAAAATATTATGACAGGGTTTATCTTTCAATAAAAATATATCCCTAAAGTTATATCTACATGTAATTGAGTCAGAAATATAGGGGGATGTTGATCGAAGTCAACTGTTGCAAAATACAGCGGAGCAACAAGATCAACACATTCAGAACCTTATAGCATTTGGCACATTATTCATTATGGTGCAATTCATTTTTATTCCAGTAAGCAAATTTACTAAATCATTAATTT